TTACAACTGAACTCAAGACAGCAGAGATCTGTCTCCCTGGAGAAAATGACTGCTTTGGAGGGTGGACTCTGTGGCATTGTACCCTGCTGAGGCCTCTCCCTTCCCCAATCCCACCTCAAAACCTCCAGGGACTCCCCAGGCCAGGCCCCAAGGCTCCCTCCCTCCCTTCCTCCGAGGCCAAAAGAGGCCTGGAAAGGGCCCTTCCCCCACCCTTTGACTGAGGGAGCCGGTTAGAAGCCTCCCCCCCCCCAACTTTCTAATCTCTCTCTCACCGTTGAGGCCTGGAGTTAGATCCCTGCAGAGGCCATTTCAAAAGGTTTTGGGGGGAATTCAGCCATCCCTGGAGGGATTTTCTTACTTTTTGGATTTTTCTGCAGATACAGGAAGTCTACTGAGTATGTAGCAAAAGCTCCTGGGCCAGAGTGAGCTTCCTCTTAGTGGAAACAAGCATCCGCACATGGCGCCCTCTGTTGGAAATTATATATATAGATAATCTGTTTAATAATGTAATCTGTTTCCATATTAAATCATTAATATTTGCATGTTTAACCTGTTTACAGGTTTAATAAATTAGGAATCAATATAACTAACAGTACACTGGTAGAGTGAGAGTGAAACATGCCCTAGATTTCAGAATACAAAATATGTAACTAAAATATGAATATAGCATTGCTTTGAGGGATGAGAGCAAAGGTAGGTTCAGCACTGTCTCTACCCATGGCCAGCCACACGCCTTGGAAAGATAACAAGCAGCAAATAATGTAGATCTGCCCTCCTTGAATTTGTCTGAATGTGTTTGAAAAGTTATCTGTGTCAGAGGTTGTCATTGTGTTTTGTAGTAATGAATCCCATAAAATGTAAAGAAATTATTTACTGGCTGTTGTATATTAAAATAGTTACTGTTTATAATTTCTTTTCAAAGTTTAAAGAAAACCTACTGCTGGTTAAGTTCATCAGAGGAGTTCAAGTTCTAGTGTCTGGAGATCAAACAACTTCTCCCTATTTTCTCTCAAAACCATTCAGATCTTATAAATCTCTGTCATGCCTTTGTTTCCTTTCTACACCAAAAAACCCCCAAATCCTTAAGCCTTTTTTCGTAATTAAGATTTTAATTACTGAAGTCCACAGTGGTGTTTAGAACTTATGGCCATGCTAATCACTCTTTCTGATACTAACTCCCACACAGGATTGTTGTAAATCTTGAAGAGAGGCCGTGCTTGTTGTTGCAGCAAACCCTACCAAATAAAGCCATATTACTCTCCCCCACATGAACACTCAAATCCATTTAAAAGCCCTGGCACATAAAATGGACTTGTGTACTGTATCTATAGACAGCGCACACACACATACATGTATACATATATATCACCTCCTCTGGGAGCTGTTACACAGGGTGGGAGTTGCTACTGAAAAAAGACTGAACTCTGGAAGATGGATGACAAATGGACAACCTTAAGTGGGGAGGGTGGTCAACTCGAATTGGCAACTACTATAATTGACACACAGGGTCATATGAAGAGATATGTCGGTCACAGGCCCTGAACGGCTTTAAAGGCTATAACCAGCAAGTCAAATTAGAACTGTATTCCACCTGAACTTTTTGAAGAAAGGAGTATAGTAGAAATGTAACAAAGTGTGGTTGTGGTGAGGCCTGCAATATATATAGCATTTTTTTTCTTTGTTTGAAGTCTCACCAGAAACAACCATGTTCTTGAATGTGCAGAATATGTTTTGAATCGGTGACTTCTTTGTTCAGGAATGCAAGTGACTGTGGGGTAAACGTCCAGCAACCGGCTGTGTTCTCTGCTTCACTCACTCTGTACCATCATAACTTGTAATACATGTTGAAGTTTGTGACTTTTATAAGACTTGCTTCTGACCCCTACCATTCCTGTTAAAAAAAGGACACTTTCTTTGCTGTTCTAATTGATATTGTTTTCTTATTCTAAATTATAGGTTATTATTCCTGGAGAAATCCAGGAAAAGGCTCCTGGTTTGTGCAGTCTCTTTGCTCAGTACTGAGCAAGCATGCAAAAGAGCTGGAGATCCTTCAGATTCTCACCATGGTTAACTATAAGGTAGCTACAAGCTACGAATCACAATCTGATGATCCTCGCTTTAGTGAAAAGAAGCAAGTTCCTTGCGTGGTCTCCATGCTAACTAAAGAACTTTACTTCTGAAATCACATTTCAAAGGGCTAGTTATGAACAGCAGCTCCCAAAACTCAACTCAAGCTCTGGAACCAACTAGATGCCATTCTTCCGAAATATGCAATGCCAAGATTACCTCAATTGATAGATTAGATTCTTTCCTACATGCCGTTAAAGTGTGTATGTGTGCATGCGAGTGTACACTGATCAGTGCTTCAGTTCTTTGTTTATATGGACACTAAAAGAAATACTGCTAATACTTCTCTTGGTTCACTATGTCCAGGGTCTTTTGTCCACATCATGGAAATATCTTGATGTTTCTGTATTAAGTATTTTTACTTTGTTTCTAGTGCTACATGGAAACCACCATGTTATTTTACTTATGTAGTACTTGCAAGGGAAAAAAGGGAGGGTGTGAATTATACAGACCTATGACCAAGGTGTAGTGGAGGGGAATTTTAAGTTTTCAGTAATTGAACAGTGAACTTGATATCACTGACGTTTACATATCAGAGGATATTGCCATTTAACAAACCTTGAATGGTTAAAATCTGGACCTTCCCTAACTGATGTAGTTTTTTAGCCATTTATTGTTAGAATCCTTCCATTTAAATCTCTTTACACTTTTCTTAGTCTTGGACAAACTGGCCTTAGAAAACCTAGGAACTGCTAAACTGTTTATTTTTATGAAATTGGGGGGAGGGGGAGGATTGAGTCTATTTTGAGATCACTAAGCAATAAGTGCAACATTTAATCTACTTAGCACCATAACAAGTTGACAATAAAAATCCATTGTAATGTGTAGCTCAGTAGTTATAAAACTGAACACATGTAGACTGTTAGTCTATTCAAAGTACGATGATTTCACAAAGCAATAAATAAGTTTGTAGCAATATTTTTTTAAATTGTTCAATGCAAATGTCTTAAATTATTTAATGCTGCTGATAAACCATAATCGTTTGTTTCCAGTACTCAGGATAGTTACCTGTGTCTCCAGGGCATATTCACAGTTTGCACATTCTCTTAAAGAACCACACCTTGATCTCGTACTTCACAAGCCTGCCAGCTCTACCCACAGGCGGGATCTACCGATAGAATCAAATTTTGCGGCCAGATTGAGCCTTCAAATGACCATGAATACCCAAATACGCCAATTGATAAAGTGCTTGGCAATGGTCGGTAGTCCCTAGGCCCTTTCTGAAACCTGCTTGGACTGGATGGATAATTTGCTTCTCAGCTACCCAGTCTTCTAGTTTAGAAAGCAAGTGTTTGCTATATAATTTACCTGCAATATCAGGCAAACTTATGGGTCTGTAATTTTGCAGAACTGATCTGTCCCCTCTTTTATAAGTGGGGACAATAATGCTTAATTTCCAACCAGTGAGGATTAATCCTGTGTCATAATTTGTGTGAAGACTCTGATCAGCACTGGGGCCCACCAATCTGGAAAAGCTTTATATAGGTCTGGAGGGATCGTCTTCCTCGGCAGATTTACCTGAGGCTAGTGAAGTACTGTTTTTCTGTGGCAACAGTTGTCTCTCGTTTTACATCCAGTACTGTGTAACTACTGAGTTTTGGTTATTATAAGAAAGCTGTATACAGTCAATACTGTATACTGGATACAAATACATGTATTTTTCACATGTACTTACCAGTTTTACTGTTTTCATTACTAAACATCATCTCTTAAATGGTGTTTTAAGGATGATGCCTGTCTGACATAAATTTGGCCCACAAATTCTAGCAGCATCCCAGAAAGTAAAATCACTAGCCCCAAAAGTTTTTTCACATTGAAACTGAAACTACATAAATGTAAACAATCAAAAAGTAATTAAGGAAAGATTAATTCAGTTGTTCACATCAAGAAGAAAATTTTTCAGTCACTGTAAGATGGACTCCCAGTGAAGGGCCATTGTCTGAAGGGACCCAATGCATTATGGATTACATGATGGAACTCAGGGCTACAATGACATCAGCAAGACAAAACAAAATATAGCTGTGGGATTTCATGTGGTGGTGACGACAGAATTCACCATGAAGTGGGGAAGACTTCATTCTTTGAATTTACACTGACAGTGACTTGTATCTTTGTGGAAGGGAGTAAATTTTAAATGCAAACAGTATAAAACATTCTCAGTTATTCTAAGAATTATTTTTGGCACTTAGAATTGTTGAATGCTTCAGAGTTTGCTAGTCTACCATGTGTGGACTTGGTAAGATTTCTCACAGGATTTCAAAAAATTGATTGTTCTTAGCTTTATAAAATAAAATGGGAAATTTTGACAAGTATCTTGAAGTAGTGAGTTTAATCAAGTGTTTGTGTGTGATGGAGGTTCACTAAAATGTCCTTTGTTTTTCAGGACAAAATATCACAGGAATTTTTTTTGACATCTATATATTTGGCTAAGATACAACCTATCTGTATGTTTAAAGATATTTTTCTATAATTACTGTAAGGCAACAGGTAATATCTACTTTTTCTTTAGGGAAACATAATTAAAGAAATAAAAGTAATTTCTTAACATCTACTTGTTTAATTTTTGTCTTTGGGTGACATCCATACATTCAGAGCACTCAACCACAGAGATCATGGGTCGTTTTGTATTTCAGCCTTTTAAGGCTTAAGACCCACTTAAATACCAAACTGCAATAGGAATCTTACTTTACCTTCTTTTTTACCACATGTGCACATCTTTTTTTCTATGGCTAGATGAAAAGGAGGCCAGCAGTCCTATATTTGAAAATGACTGTTAGGAAGTCTGACAGAGTAGAATTGTGCAGAAGAGCTGCTTAGAGCACGCTGAAAACAGTAAATTTGTAACTGAAGGATCTCAGCTGTAGGAATAGGACCTCAGTTCAAAAGTTCAATGGAAGTGAAATGTTAGTAATGCCTTAACTTCCTAAGTGTTAGGGTTTTTGTGCATATTATAAATGAAAGTTTTCTTGTTTTGATTAACCCTGTGAGCTGTGAGTCTAAGGGAAAGAAACACACACAGAATTTATACATATTTTTGTAAATTAAAAAAAACACAGGTCCTTTCCTCACAGGGAAGGTATTCCATCCTCCGGCCTTGCTCATATTATTATACTTTTCTGGATCTTTTCCAGCTCCATGATATTCTTTTTGAGTTAGTGTAACTTCAAGAAGACTGTATTCCAAATGCAAGTTAACACCAAGATTGTACACAGTACTCCAACAAATTGGTGCATTTTGTAAAGAATTTGGCCTTGACTGAAGAAATAAAACCCATTGCATGACTTTGTGATCAGCTGTGTTTATTGGGCATGTGGGGAGTATGCTTCTTGATTATATGTTAGTTGAACTGAATAGGCATGAGAGCAATCAGGAAACTAGCTCTACAGCTGAGAGAAAAGTAGCCACATTCATTTTCATGAAGACACTGGCAGTATGATGCAAATAATCCGTTCAACATATTTTGCATATTACATCATGAGTTACTTTATAGTCTCACTGAAGACTATATAACATGATTGCTTGGATTCCTCCGTAACAGCCTGAAATGCCCCCTGTAATGTCTGCCTACGAAGCATGATTTCCTGCCTCTCAGCAGCCTGAAATCCTTGCATCCACAGAAATTCCGCTTGGATCCAAGTGACACTGCCACAGATAAAGTACCTAATTAAGTGTTGCATATATTCCCACATCAGTTTAATGCACTCAACATGTGTTGGCCCATTTATGTATAGCATTCTAGCATGCGAACACTACATCAGTCACCTGACCTGGTAAGTGTACTGAAACACGACAAGATGTTCACCTTGTTGTGTTTCAATACACTTTTCACATAAACTCTTGGAAGTCCCTTGGACTGCAAGGAGATCAAATCAGTCAATCCTAAAAGAAATCAACCCTAACTGTTCTCTGAAAGGCCAGATACTGAAGCTGAGGCTCAAATACTTTGGCCACCAAATGAGAAGGGAGCACTCACTGGAGAAGATCCTGATACTGGGAAAGATTGAAGGTAAAAGAAGGGGACGACAAAGGATGAGATGGTTGGACAGTGTTATTGATGCTACGAACATGAAATTGAGCAAACTCCAGAGCACGACGGAAGACAGGACGGCCTGGCTTGATGTGGTCCATGGGGTCGTGAAGGACTCGACTGTGCAACTGAACAACAAAAATCACATAAATTAGGTGGAGCTTTTATATGGGTAATATCTTTACCTGTGAACTGAGCACATAGATTGGAACTAAATTCTTTTTTTTTGTTGTTTCATCCTTCACTGTTTGGCAAAAGAGATTTTTCTTATAACTGGTCCCACAGTTATATCTGTTGGTAGCTAGAGGAACAAGACCTGCCAGTGTTGCTGTTGCAGAAATTATTGGACACCATAAAGTAATTATTCATCACATTAGCAGCATTGGATGAAACAAGAGTACATTCTCCTGATTTAGTAAATTTTTCAGATCCATTCTCAATCCTCAGGCCAAACATTTTAAAGAATAAAGTCAAAGTAACCCCAACTGGACTGATTCCTTGGCCTTTAGGAAGTCTCTGAGTAGGATCCGTGATCTCAAGTGGGTCCTTCCTAACCCAAAATTTAGAACTGTAATGAATTAATGATCATATCCTATATTGGCATTAAAGTCATCATCTAAAATGAAACAGACTAATGGAAATTTGGTACATTGGTCAAATACATCTTGTTCTATCATATCATCCCAATTCCTTTTCTTGCCTGCATTGGAGATAGCAGGAAGCATATAGGTAAATATTAATCACTTTCTGGGTGCGTTCAGACACGTCGTTTGATCTGGTGTTGTGACAGTTCAGCAACAGATTTTATATGCATGATCACACAGTCAACATCTGCCTCCCATCCCCAGCCATTGGTTTCTGGCTCAAAACCGCTTTAACTCGGAGTATTTTGTTACCAGATCCCAAAGTGGTGTTTTCTCAGCTCTCCCATTTAAAGCTGCATTTTCCCCCGTGTGATCGCTCCTCCGGTGCCCCCACATTCTACGGATGAGCGCCTATGCACATGCGCAAACTGAGGGGAAAAAAATAAAAACCCACTGACACACGCTCCCACACGTCGGTAGTGTAGACGCCGGGGAGCAATGTGACAGCGTGGTAAAGCAGGATAAGGGAGGTAAGTGCGATCACGATTATCCAGATCAAATATAATCCAGTTAGAACCGGAGCAGTTTAACCCGCTCTCAGCACGCCATCTGACCGCACCCTCTGTGTCTCAACTGAAGCACTACTAGCAGAGATAGTGGATCACAATATAGTAAAAGAAACATAGTCAGTGCTAAAAGTCAGTGCTAAAAGCACCAAGTCATTTAAAACAACCTTTGCCATTACGAAACTGTAGCTGTTGCCAGTATATCTTAGGCTATAAAAAGGCCTGTGAAAGGAATTCTAAGCAGATCTATGCAGAAATAAGTTTCGTGTTACTTCTAGGATTGCAGCCTATATCATCTGATGTCCATGTTTCTTGTAATAATATATCAAAACAATACAAGTAGTTCACAAAACCATAATTAGGATGAAAATGAACTGGTGAGGCCACAACAGGTGAACTAGACGATCACCATTCCTTCTGCTCTAATGTAATGGGCTACAAAAGACTGGATTGGTCAACTGTTTGGTGATGAATCAAAAACACATAATTATTACAGTCCCCCTACATATCTTCTAGCCAGCCAAAGACTGCAACCATTGCAACTTAAAGGCAGAGCAGTTTTAAAACTAAATCTTGGGGGAAAGCTGACAGGAGATGGTTTGGGATGGCTCATCTGTAAGAGATGAAGGGGTAGCTGTTACTCCTCTCCAAGAGGATGAGGAACCA